TGGCAAGCCATCAGCGGACATGCCATATAAAATCTCAGCGTCCTGCAGTGTGATGGTGGCCTCGCCGATGGGCAAATGGAAAGTGTGCGTCTCCGGTCGCCACCACTCAATCAAGGTCGTGATCAAAGCATAGTCGAGTTGTATCAGGCCAATCCTAATAATCCTATATAATCCCATCTCCTCTAGGTAATGGACCACGCGGGGATGTAGAACGCGGGGAGGACTCAAAAACTCCCACAATAGATCCACTCTCCTAGCCCGGAAAGTCTGCGTAAGCAACTGTCCGTCTCATATATACTCGGATCTATGTTGGGGCTGTAGGGCTAATAGATCAACGTCCGAGGGCCGAGATGTATAGTCGCGTCCATGTCGTCAACTGTAAATTCATATTTTTTAAAAACTTAATTGTATATATATATTTATTTATGGGTTCAGGACTCGATATTTTGAGGACCAGTGACACCAAACGATCATTAATAATTATGTATTTTTATTATAATTTAAATTCATATTTTTTAATAACTTAATTTTACAAATTATATATATATATATATAATTATGTATTTTTATTATAATTTAAATTCATATGTTTTAATAACTTAATTGTACAAATATATATATTTAAATATATATATATATGGATTTTTATACAATTATTAACTTAATTGTACAAAGTTTGCATTTTCAACAACCAGTATAAGATACTTACACAAAAGGATTTCTAAGCTAAAATACTACACATTACTACGCTACAAGGCTCTATATTTTACTACGCTATAAGGGTCTACATTTTACTACGCTAAAAAGGTCTGGATTTTACTACGCTAAAAAATAATCTAAACTAACCATAAACAACAAATAAATTTAATTGCAAATAAAATACAAAACGGCATGAAAACACATATATATATAAATCAGGATATTAACAGACAAATTTATTTTACTAATTTATATTTTTTTAGAAAACACTAATATTAAATCCGGATAAATTTAACATGATAGTTTCGGAAAAAAAACACAAACCGAAATAGAACACATACAAATCAAATAATATGCATTATTATAAATGTTTCAACTTAAAATAAATCGAAATACCTCGATTTAGAATTTTGGGAAAGCAAAAAGATTGAAATTTTGACTCCGGAAGTGTGAATCAACAATAACACGAAGCTCTACTCGAATGTGGGACCTACGTTCTTCGAGTTTTATGTGTCGGGGGGGCACAAATTTTTTTATTTTTTTTTTAAAAAATGGCAGAAACGGGTCTGGGGTGGGGGACCAAGAAGAGATGGGGGTTTAAGAAATGGAGGATGAATCGACATGGAAGACGGAGGGGATATAAAATATCTATGTATAGCGCCACTATACCTGGCGCTATACATTAATGATGTATGTATAGCGTCAGGTATTGTGGCGCTATACCTGGGCGTGTCAATGATGTATGTATAGCGCCAGGTATTGTGGCGCTATACCTGGGCGTGTCAGATTTTACAGTATAGCGCCACAATACCTGGCGCTATACATTAACGGTGGCGTTACTGTTAGTGTATAGCGCCAGGTATTATGGCGCTATATAGAAAAATATAATTTTTTTTTACCACCTATTTGTGTAGTTTGAATTCAAAAGAACCACATTTTGGTTCCGGACTCTTTTTTTTTTTTCAAACTTCAATACCAGGATCACTAGGCCTATTTAAACATATGTTGTTCGAGAAATTTATACTTTTAGTTTTAGACGCTCACAAGTCACAAGGCCAAACAAATACTTTCCCTTTTGTATATATGTGTATTATATTAAAAAAATATACATATTTAAACAAGCCTTTTGCATTAATTCAATGAAGTGGGTGCAGCATTCAAATTTTAGCAGGAATTACATGTTAACTATCAGTGGGTAGTCCTACACATTAATCTCTATCTGTAAGCAATTTATATGATACAAAATTGAATGTATACACAAAAGAATGAGCAAAATATCAAACAAGAATGCGGTTAATCTCTCATAGGACGTTTTCCATGAGGGTCCAATCTATGTCTTGTAGTTATGGACGTACTCGCAGTTGCACTAACAGTGTTGCTACTAGATGTGGAGCTGAATGTAGACGGATTGGATGCACCGGAGGTTCCAGTTGTATGAGACGAACCAGCTGGTCTGCCAGATCTAATTCTTGAACCAGGATATCCAGGTCTTGTTGGCTCTTTATCAAGAGATCCGGGTTTCTTTGATAGCATCACCACTAACTGTTGCATGGTTGGACGTAGTTGCGGATCAGATTGCGTGCATAATAAGCCGATCTGTACATACATTGCTATCTCATCAGGAACAGCTGATTGTGCGAGTGCAGGGTCCATAATTTCCCAGCTCCTACCCTTCTTGTAAAGTTTGTATCCCTGCACCAACAACAAATATCTATCAAGAATCGAAAGAGTCCGGGTATTTGGTCGATTAAAGGTAAAATGTGTCTGATGAGAATTACCATGTAAACATATGAGTACTATATTCCATTTGTTTTTTTGGCAAGTCAAGGTTAATGCAATTATAAGGATTAGTCACGACCACCAGCTTGTAAACTGTTAGCAGACTCGGATACACTTTTTAACATGGTGTGACATTATATGTTTTGAACCAAATCACATGGTTTTTCCCAAAAGACCTATCATTCAAGAGCCCCTAATTATATGTAACTTTTCTTTTCCTTCATTTACAGATGTGGGACTTTGTTCTACCTCCAAATTTGGTCTTTCATGCAAGATTGATGGCCCTCTCAAACCTAGTACCACATATCCACTATTAAGACTGATGAGCCTGCACACCAAAAAAATTGAGGCTTATTTAGAGATCCGTTATGTGCCACCAACATTGTCCAAGTAAAATTTTTATCGCCACCAATACGCACCACCAGACTGACAGGCTTTTCCTTATGTGCCTCCAACCTGCCAACAACAAATCCCGTTCCAAGCCATCACTCCATCTCCATAGTCAATCGGACATACTCCATTTCAAAAGAATGTCGTCTTTCCATATTTGGAAACAATTTACCTTTATGCAATAATTTATAGTTACACAAAATATATGTACCTCATTTTACACCACAAGTTCAAAAGTATTTTGTTTTTTCCTAAACTCCGTACCCAGTCAAATAAGTTCACATAAATTGAACCAGAGGAAGTAGTATCTTTTGACAGGCTAAGCCAGCCAAAAGACATTCTTAACATGGTGTGATAATGTTCATTTTGGTCCAAACCCGTATGGTTTCACCCAAAAGGTCACAAACCATTTAAGAGGATCTCCACACATTATAAGCATCTTCTTGTTTACGTCAACAACCTATGAGACTTTGTCCCCCCACCCCCACCTTCCCCAACACAAACAAAAGCAATTTCATGTTAATTTAAATGTAGTTAATAAATTCAGTGCTAGTTCCACACACAGTTGATCAGCACATAGAGCATGGACCAAAGTACCAAATTAGGCTCAGTTGAATCAAGTAAACTGATAAGTTCTGCATTCTGCACCTAGTCCTAAGATGGCTCAGTCTAACGGAACGTGCAAAATGGCAAATTATTCCACATCCAAGTACTGAAAAAATGTCTTTGAAATATTATTGTAGAATGATTCACTGAATCTCAACTTCTGTTACTTCTAAATCCCTATTCAAATTTATGGCACCAAAGGTGACTTATCTGACTGTAATCAAACTGCTCAATCTTCAACACGGAAAGATGCCCTTCTAATCAGTGTTCCAGCTTAATCTATAGACTTCTTTGCAAATGAAAAGTAAGAAAAAAAATTCATCAAAGAATCACAAGATTATAATTTTCTATATAGCACCAAATGGTATCATAAGAGTAGAATTTTCTATATGGCACCAACTAATATCATAAGATTAGAATTTTCTATATAGCACCAAATTGGTGCCATTGTCTCATTATTACTATGCGGAGTTTCATCTCTTTGGGTTTTCCTAGAACTAGTGTAACAGGACCAAATCTAACCCTATGACCTTTTTTCTTAGACGTAAATGGTTATTCCTTAGAAAATGATTTATAGCTTTCTTCTTTCTTCTGCAACTTGATTGACTTTGGATAAAACAACGAAATTGGGAGATTTCTAATTCTTATTGCACTTTCAGTGCTCATTGTACTGTATTGGCACTAAAATATATTGCTTTTTTTTTTTTCATTACTTCGGTATAGCTCAGTTCATTGATTTTTATCTGCAAAATCATAAGAAACTGATAAATTTTGCCACTTGGCTATAATTTTTCCTATTATATGTTTTACGGGATCTCAAATTGATTCCGAGGACACTCCTTTTTATACTCAACATCATCTATGAGTCGTTAGCAATATAGAGTGAGCTGTAGTTCCACAAATTCATCTATATCAAGACAAGTAACCAGACAGGATAAATCAAGTTCTTACCCATTCAAGAAGGCTCCGGGAATCAGGATCTCTGTTAAAGTTTGAATTTTTCTGACCACTTATGAGCTCCAGAACGACAACTCCGAAACTGAATACATCAGCCTTCACCGATAGATGTCCATACATAACATACTCCGGTGCCATATAGCCACTGCTTCCAATTTAAATTATCAAATAGAGTTGTTAGCAATATAGAGTGAGCAAATTCTTTTTCAAAAAATTGTTCAACCAAATGAGTCAACATAGAGGTTCAATAGAATCATACTTAGTACCAGCTACACGGGTGTTAACATGTGTTTGATCTTCAGGGTATAGTCGGGCCATTCCAAAATCAGCAATCTTGGGCACCCATTTGTCATCAAGTAGGATGTTGCTAGCTTTGATGTCGCGGTGGATGATGCAGTTATGTGAACCTTCATGAAGGTATAGCAACCCTCTAGCAATGCCAATAATTATGTCATGCCTTTGCTTCCAGTTGAGTACATCTCTATTAGTAGATTCTAATACAAGAATATTAGAGTCAGTAATAGCTTCAAAAAACTACTACACATCTTTCTTCTACTCAAAACTAAGAAAAATTAAAAAGATTCAAAACGTAAAGAGTCTAGTGTTGCTAAGACCACTGCGAGAAATTGCTTGCCAGTAGAATTATATTAAATCCGGGCTTAGTATTTCAAATTGCTTCTCACGATAAGTTTTAAAGAAGGAAGTTAACGTCTACTAATGTTGCCAAATGAGACTTCAGGGGTTACCAGAATTCTTAAAAATGGAACAGGCACAAGTTTCATCCAACGGTGGCCTAAGGTTGATGAAACTGGAATGAACACAATGACTAGGTACTAGTCTAGCAAAGGCAAAACAAAAAAGCTAAGTGATTTCTTTCCATCTACTAAGCAGCCTTGGTGATCAGAGTTACATGATACATGTACAGGTAGGAGGAGGATGCAAGTATCCCGTAAAGTAGTCGATGTGCACACATGCTGGCCCAAACACCAAAGTTACCAAAAAGAAAGAAAGAAGACAAAGAAAAGCCACAAGTTTGTTGCTGGGTGTCGAGACATATTTAAGGTTTAAGCATTACGGCCCCATCACCGGAGTTCAATGTACATTTGAAATTAGAGTCCATTACACAACTAAAACACAGGAATACAGAACAATATAGATACCTCTAGTGGTTTCACAGACTGACACAGAGATCATTGAACTAGATTTTGGAGAACATAATTCAAAGAACAAATTTCTGGACCCAATTGCAAAGTGAAAATGCTTATCCAAAAGACAAGGCTTATTTGAAACTAGAAATCTTAGTATATTCCCAGTATCACAAAAACTTTCAGATCTTAAATGTGCTGATTAATAAACTCACTCCTCAAAGGACTGGCAAAGGCATCCTTCTGCACTTTCACTTGTTTTAATCATTTTGTAGTGAAGGTCGTCCTTTCTCTTAGCTTATTTCATTTAAAAACAACCACAACGACTACGCTTCAGTCCCAAACAAGTTGGGGTGAGTTATATGAATCCTCACTTTCTCATTTAAATTCATCTCATACCAACATTATACAAAATAAAAATGAGAAGTACTGAAGTTCTTTATATTTCATTTTAAAAGTACATCCAAAAACTAGTAGATCTAAGAAGATAAAACTAGTAATAAAACTTACTGAAGAGGATCTTGTCAAGGCTCTCATTAGCTACATACTCATAGACAAGCAGCTTCTCTACCCCATGGGCACAGTACCCTAACAAATTCACCACATTTCTATGTTGTACACGAGCCAACAACTTAGCTTCATTCTTGAATTGCTTTGTCCCCTGCCTTGAGCTATGTGAAAGCTTCTTCACAGCTATTTCCCTCCCATCTTTCAATATCCCCTATGAAAAAAGGACCAATTTTTCAAAATTCTTGACTTTTTGTTCGTACCCCATCCCCAAAAAAAAAGAGTCAATTTTTTCATACCCCAATTCACCAAAATTTAAAAGACTCAATTTATTATACCCAGTTCACCAAATTTTAAAAGATTCAATTTTTTCATATCCCAATTCACCAAAATTTAAAAGACTCAATTTTTTCATACCCAATTCACAAAAAAAAAAAAAGAGAGAGAGAGAGAGAGAGAGAGACTCATTCTTTTTCATACCCAATTTACACAAAATTGACTCATTTTCTTCATACCCAACTTATAAGAAAAAGACTCAACTTTTTCCATAGCCAAAAAATAAAAACTCAACTTTTTGCATACTCAATTTTGTTGATTTTTCTTGTTTTACCTTGAAAACAGGCCCAAATCCACCTTCACCAAGCTTGTTATCGGGGTGGAAATCTTTGGTAGCAGAAACGAGTACTTCAAAAGGGAATTGCTTCTGTTCTTGTGCTGCAATTTTCTCCAAGTCCTCTTCATTTTGTCCTTTATAATTGGTCAATAAAAGCCAAAAATAAGCACACAAAAAAAAAGATACAATATGAAGAAGAGTACTCACAAGAATTATTGCTAACCTTTATTGGAGCTTGAGAAGAAAGGTTTCAGAAAGTTTGAAAGAAGTTTTTTGGGTTTGGTCATAGCCGGTACACAAAATAATTAGTCCATTTAAGAAAATCCAAGGACTTAGTATAAAGTACTAGGAAACAGAAAATTTCTAATTTTTTCTTTATATAAATTTTTAAGTATGAGAAATTATGTTAAAGAAGCAACCGTGTCTGTGTGGAATTTCAGAGTTTAGGCTGCTGCATTTTTCTTCACTCGTATGTATTTGCTGATGTTTTTTTGTACCTGCAGACAAGGCTGAGTTAGGCGTTGTTTGGCATGAGGTATAAGTATATATAGTGCTAGTATAAAAATTAATAATATTTTAATATTTTATTTGGTTAGTAAATCTAATATAAGTTATTTCGGAATTAAAATTAGTACGGGGATAATTTATACTTTCTTTTTTGTAATTATGCAATTTGTTATTTTTAATATAACATATCAAACAATGGATAAAAATAATACCAGGATAACTAATATCAGCATGACTAATCCCAGTATAACTTATTCCAGCATAAGTCATATTATAACCAAACGACCCCTTACAATATTAGGTACCGATTAACTTATGTTTAGAATTTGTATTTGTTGGGGTTTTAAGTATATTAAATGCTTAAAAGAGGGTGAATGGAAAATGGAGGAAAATGAAATTTTAAGTTTCCCCTTGAGGAAGGAACATTGTCACATATTAGAAGAGGAAGAGGTTCTTTATGGGTATATAAGCAATTGTTTTTCTTCTAACTCTTAAAGAGTTGAGAAAAAGGCAAGTCTCGCGCCGTCGTCGCTCGCTCGCTCGGCTTCGACTTCGACTTATTCGGATTCGGATTCGGTCAAATGATTGATTAATTAAATTTTTGGACCAAATTTATTTGTTAATAGTAAAATATTAACAAAAATGTTATTAAATATTCGTTTTAATAAATAAATATTAATATTAAATCCAATCATTTTTATGTTTTTCAGTTATGTAACTGAAAATTAAACTACCCTCTTCAATTTTCCCTCTTTATTGTTGAGTAAATAGCTATTTATGTTATGGCATTATGCTATGGCCGTTTTGCATAAACAGCCATTCTGAAGAGTTGCACCTCTTCAGATTTCAGCCCAACTTTGGCTATAAATATAAGTCTATTCTCTCATAATTTCCATATGATTTTCTTAGTTTCTCCTCCTTTTTCTGCATACTTTTAACATTAAACAAAGCAACAGTAAGTGGGATTTGCTACGAACTTTGTGTTCGCTGAAACACTGGGGTTTGAAGTACCACTACACCAGTGTGTAATTCGTTCTATCCTGGGAAGAAATAATCCATAACCTTGGATACTAAGAGGGGATTAAATTCCTTAAGGAAACACTGTGAATTCAATGAGCTCGAATTGATTTTTCTTTCTTTACATTATTCTTTTTTTTCAGAATTAATTTACAAATACAGATTACTAACAATATTTACCTTAAAAAATTTATATAAAATATATAATTATGAATTGAAATAAGTTACGAGTTCGATAGTATATTTAAAATCCATAAATATTAAATTTTGAATTCGCCTATTTGTAAATACCTTGGTTGTTGCTGCTTTGGAACTAGGACGGAATATCCAAGAGAAGGATGAGAAATAGTTTCGACAATTTGAACACGGAAATATTGTATAGGAGATGAGCATTTTATTGCTCCAGAAATTCCATAAATTATAATAGTAACAAATATAATGCCACACGCGGGACTCTTTTTCTTGTTATTTCCCTGAAAGACACGCTGGACTCAAAAGTGTCACTTTCTGAATATAATTTTTTTTTTAAAAAAATATATATTTCGATAGATTTCTTGAAAAATAATATTGTCGATTAACATTACTGATCGACTTGGTTGGAAAAATAATTTTTGCGCATGCTGGCGCAAAATAAATCAACCGAATCAATCAATTTCTTAAAAGAAAAATTTTTAAAAAATTATTTTTAAAAAAGCTGATCAGTTTTTCGATCGGATAAATATGTGTTTTTAAGAGAAATTTTCAGAAACCACTATTGTTTAGTGGTTATAACTTTATATAGCTACTATATACATAATTACTTTTTATAGCTATTATTCCGTTGTTACGGTAGTATATTCACTGTATTCGTGCTAGCGCCTAAAACTTAAGGCAGTCCAGCTGTACGCACATTTATTCACATGTATTTGCGCTATGTATTCATGAATACAGTAACAACAATCACCTTAAAAATACGTATGTCCAGCTGTCTAAGAGAGAGGAAAAACATAAATGGCGCGTTTCATGCCTCAATGGTAGTATATACCATAAATACTTCTTTTGCTATAAAATATAAAAGGTAGCTATAGAAAATAATATTTTAAAATGATTTTGGTTTATAATAAATAGGATGTATACCTTTGCTATAGGAGGTAAAATTTTATTTTTTAATAATGTCGACTCTTTTGCAAAACTTCGACCCTATTTTGGTTCCGGACTCAAGGAGGGAAGAAAATAAAAAATAGCCATATTTATAAGTGGTCATTCAAAAATAGCCACAGTTTCAAAGTAATCGAATTTTAGTCACTTTTCATGTAAAGATAAATCTGAATAAAAATATTGTTCAAAATCCAGATAATACTCGAGCATAATATACTGAAATTTCAGTATAATAAATTGGAGTTACAGTATATTATACTGGAGTTCCAGTGTAATATACTGGACTTCCAACATAATATACCGGTCCAGCATAATATGCTGGAAGTTCATACACAGGTGCTCCATTCTCCAGTATATTACGTTGGAACTTTTCGCGTGTTGGAGTTCAAGTATAATATACTGGAAGTTCATATACAGGTGCACTGATCTCCAGTATATTATGCTGGAACTTTCCGTATTGTAGCAAAATAATGGCTAGTTTTAAATGACTTTGCTAACGTTGGCAATTTTTCAATGACCAATCCGAAAACTGACTAGCCCGTGCTATTTTAACCTCAATGAGAGAACCAATCGCTTGAGCTACACTCTTTTTTCTTTTTTACAGTTCGCTCATTTGCCCCTACGTGTTTTCTCATTATTTTTGTTATATAATGATGTCAAAGTGATGCTATGGTTTTCCTAGCAAAAGTAAGCATCCTCTACTTATGATTGTAACAATCCGGCCGATTGTTTCATGAGTTACCACCCATTTTTCTCATTTTTGCTTCTTTATGTCTTGTTCAACTGTATTATGTGGTATTGGGTTGGTTGGTTCGGGCTCGGAGTGGTTTTGGAGAGGAATGAAACATTTAGTCTCTTTTGAGTAAGCTTAAGTTGAAAAAGTCAATTGGATATTGACTTATGTGTAGAAGGTCTCGGACGTGAATTCTGATGGTTCGGATAGCTTCGTCAAGTGATTTGGGACTTAGGAGCGTGATGCGAATGTATTTTGGAGGTCCGTGGTAGATTTAGGCTTGAATTGGCGAAATTTGAAATTTGGCGTTTTCGGGTCTGTAGTGAAAATCTTGATATAGAGGTCAGAATAGAATTTCGAAAATTGGTGTAGGTCTGGTATGTCATTTGTGACGTGTGTGCAAAATTTCAGGTCATTCGGAGGTGATTTGGTAGGTTTTGACGCCGTTTGTGGAATTTGAAAGTTTATAAGTTCTTCGGCTTGAATCCGAGGTTGATTTGATGTTTTGATGTTGTTTTGAGTGTTCCGAAGGTTGGAACAAGTTTGAATGATGTTGTGTGACATGTTGACATGTTTGGTTGAGGTCCCGAGGGCCTCTGGATGATTTCAGAAGGGTGTCGGAAAGTTTGGCTTTGTTATTGAGCAGCTTCAGCTGCTGTTCCTGTCATAACCGCACTTATGGAGTGGGAACCGCAGGTGCAACGTCCACAGGAGCGAGGAAGTAGCTGCAGATGCGGCCATAAGCGAGAAGACCAGAAGTCGCAGGTGCGGAAGATGTGACTCGATCCGTCCCGTGAGCGGAAGGCGTGCACTCGTAGGGATTGTGACTCAGTCCGTCCCGTGACAACTATAGAATGTTCTATTTTGATAAACTCTTTGTGATATCTATCTATTTTAGAAATCAACCTATCAATTTGGGCTGTGTTCGGACCCACAGGGGTATTTTACCATTTTCCTCACATTGTTTTTATTCGAAAGCATATTCTCAGTCATGATTTTTACCTGTTTACTGTTGATGTAGTTTTATTACTCTATTTTAAATATTTGAAAGTTGTTTGGGCTAAATTCCCCTGATTTTTCACTTAAATGTTCGAGTGGTTGTGAGGTTGATGATTGAGAGGGGCCAAGGGTCGGTTGGTGAGGATTATATATATATATGGGGGATCGAGATGTACGCCGCATCGATATTTATATAGATCGAGCTGCACGCCGCAGCGATATGTTGGATCGGGTTGCACGCCGCAACGATATAGCGTTTGGGCTATAGGAGCCCCTCCGGAGTCTGCACACCTCCCAGTGAGCGCAATCGACTATATATTACGGATCGGGCTGCACGTTACAACAATTATTATTTTGAGATATCTATTGAGCGGGAGTGTTGAGTATTTTCGTACCCCCTTTTTCTCGCGAAATCGGGTTTATGACATTTGAGAGGACAACTCGTTCCCTTTTGGGAATTGAGTTTTTTGATTTGAAGAGTCGCCACCTAACGATTAAGTGCATTAGGATACTAGGAAGAATTTGTTTAGAAAAACCAGAGTTTGGGTAAGGGCTAGAAATTATCTCGAGGGGAAGTTGTTAGGCACCCCTCAAGATCCACTAGTGTGGTTGTCGACCATGCTACAATTGTGACTTAAGTACAAGCAATAAATAAGCAATTAAGGGTTTCAAATATGAGGGGTTGTCACATTGTGATTGCAAATAAGTTAAAGCTTGAAGAAACAAGGAAGTTGAAATTTGAGAAAAAGGAGTTTGAAATTTTGAAAGGAATAAAATAAACAAGTAAATGGAAGGGGGGTCCTAGATTTATAAATAATATGGATCACATCAATGCAATACCCGGTAATCACTCCTCAGAAGATGGGTTACACGTGGTATTAGCGCATCGGTCATCATATTTATATTTACCCTTTCCCACCCCGTTGAGGTATTTAAACGCGGAATGCTTTCGTTACTTATTGCATGCTAGTACCCACCCTAATCCTATCAGTCTCGGAGGCATTTGGGACTACTAGTCCTGAAGGGAAGGGAGATTGTTTAGCATGTCTTGCAGATACTGGTTATGGTCTGAAT